ACACTGGGTGCTCCTAAAAAAATGCTGTGAGAGTTTTAGGTATTATTAGAATATTATTGAAAAATGTTAGCAACTTGAACAGTTAACAAAAACTATAATGAACACACTATCCTTTGAAGTAGTGGCACTTTTTTATCTAATAAACATAGAATGTATTTTTAAAATAACTCAATAGTTATTCTCAATTTAAACTAGGTTGCAGTTTATTACTTTAAAGATAATGATGTACACACATTCGATTCAGGATAAAACAGATCCACTTTCCGACTACTGCTTTAGCATCAGAATTCTAAGATCGCGACCAATTAAATTAAAGAGTTTTAATCCACTTCTCGCAAAACTTAGTTTTACTAATGGTTGAATTTACTAATTATTTACTTTATTAGTGATATCCATAATTGGTGTTTAAGACAAGCAAAGAAGAAAAGACAAGAATAACAAATAGGTATACAAAAGTTAGAATATGGTTAAGTGAAGGAAGTGTGGATTAGAAAGAGATTGCTTAGGAACAAGATTGGATTAGGGATACGTGGGAATTCAATTGAAGCTAACTTCGGTCGAGACTCAGAAACATAGTCACTTCAATAGGGCGAAGCCAAAAATCAATTGAATATAAAAGAAACTATAGCGTCAGCCAATAAACTTCGCAGCAATCTATGGTAGCTATCAACTCAATAATGACAGAAAGCTTAAAATTAATTAATTTTACAGTTCATTGTCTTGTTTACAAGCGTATGAAGTCATTTTGATTTTTGTAGCTTTTTGTGTTGTAGACAAGACTAGTTGTATGTGAGGGAGTTCAAACATGATAGTGTGATTGCTTCATATTGGGCTGGAAAAACACAAGTGGCTATCTTTCGAGCCCTCCAACACCAAAATGTCAACTCGTCCCATAGCTCGTTACCGTGTTACCGGTAGCATTCCCAGACGCCCAGGTGATGGACAAAAAAAAAGCACCAACAACACCAGAAATGATTCGTAAAGTGAAGAAGTGAATTGGGCGAAACCCACGTCATAGCAGCAAACAAATGACAAAGGAGCTGAACATATCGCGAGAAAAGATTAATTTTTGAAAAATTTTGAAAAATGATCTCGGACTAAAGCCATGAACAAAAAGAAGTTAGAGTTGAAAGAGCCAAAGTGTTGGTTTGTTTGGTGGATTGCACCATTCGTAATTGAGCAGTAAGTAAACAAGCGAAATGATCAAATTTACTTGTCAGAGAGGTGAACAGACAATTTAAGCATACAACAAAAAGCAGACGCCACCGATGGTGATGGTGTGGGCCGCCGTTACGGCCGATGGTCGCTCTTCGCTAGTGTTCGTCGACAGTGGGGTAAAAATAAACTCCCAAATCTATTGGCAGCTATTATTTTATAGGGAGCACTAAAGCTTTGGGCAGATGACCATTTCGTTCGCAGGCGTTGAACTTACCAACAGGAATCAGCAAATAAAGCATCCTTGCTTTATTCCATCAACACAGTAATCACCATGTTCACCTAATATAAACCCTTTATATTTCTCGATCTGGAGTATTTTTAAAAGTAAGGCTAGCACTAAAAACTATCAAAATATTGATCGTCTGAAGCATGCGCAAAGACGAGAATGGGCTAAAATACCGAATAGACCATTTGCGAATAGCGTGCGATAGCTTCATTTGCCGTTTGAAGGTCATAATTCATGCTAGAGGTGGTCATATTGAATTAAAATAAATTAACTTAAAAATGTAAAGTTCCTTTTGCATATTTTTATTTATATTACATTAAATAAAGAGGTTTTTTCGAACATTGGTGAAGTACAACAACAAAAATTTATTTTATATTATTTTTAATTAATTGAATTTTTGGCTGACCATACAGCTGTTTCGAGTATTCCGAAATATTCGTCATCAGTGATTTTGGAAATAATTCTTGTGTTTTATTATTCGTAAATAATTATTTTTGAGACTGCAAGTACTAGAAATCGAACTCGTGTCCTGCCAAATTTGAAGCTCAGAGTCAGCGCATATTAACCAACTGACGCAAAGCCGTAACTGACTTTTACTTTATGTCATTAACTTTGGTAAAAATAAACAAAATAAAGCATTTTACTTTGTTGCAATTTTCATCAGGAACCTGGTAATTAAGTAAGTAAGTAGTAACAGTAGTTCATGATTAATCTCACTCTACTTAAGTCATAATATATATATATAGACTTATTTATTAGCACTTAATTGATTGTAAAAATTAGTTGGAATACCATATATGTTACTTAAGCTTATGACTCAATATTATTTATAGTGTAAAAAATTTTTTACAGTTTTTGAATCTAAAATGGTTAATATCAGATATATGAGTATATCAACCTATGTTCCAAAGTTTTAAGTTGAAAAGTTTATTGCAGATAAAAAAGGTAACAAAAAAATCTAATAAAATTAACGTGAACGTTGGTAGAAATGAAACACTTCTTTCCTCTTAAAGAGTAAAAGTAATTATAACAACTGCAATAAAAGGAAAAACTTCACCTAATGACCTAAGCAATTTATTTATGTGTTTACAACGATTTTTCTTCTCAACTTTTTTCAGATATTTTTCCAATTTTTTTGCAATATAAACCAAGTTGTACCCATTTTAATGGCCTTCATAATTGGTACAACGCCTGAAGGCTTGAAGTTGTGTTACAAAAACGAATAGAAAATATAAACAAAAACAAAAACGAAAGCAAAAACAAATAAAGGCGAGAAAAACAAAAATGAGACTATAAGGAGAAAAAAAAAATGAAAATGGCAGGACCTAAATACTTTCACATGATACGAGTGAGTATGGCCTGAGTAAGCAAAATGGCATCTCATTGCCTTTTTGTACGAAATAAAAAGATCTTTTGTCTCCGAACTGAACTATCAACATGCATACATACATACCTACGCATACATAGCCACATAACATGTCACTCTGCAATGCACACACATATTGTGCTTTATAAGCTTCGTACGGTACGGCGTAAATGTCACTTGAATTTTTACTTTTCTTTTGTTTTTTTTTTATTTTTTTGTTTGTACTTTTTTTTGGTTTTCTACATTTCTATTTCGTACCAAAGACTACTGCTGCATTGAGGGCGACCATTGATAGACAAGTGACAGTACCGACTTTTTTTTAACCTATGAAGGTTATTTTTTACTTTCAGATGCTTTTTCTAGTCGTTCTAGTTTTATAGCTCATAGTATAGTGTAATGCTTTTTTATAGCCTTTAATTTTAGTTTTTTTTTTTTTTATTTTTGTCTTTTTTTAGTTTATTATTCACATTAGTTT